CAAAAGAGACAAAAATTGAGATCTCGGCAGTTGCCTCACTCGGTACCTGGGCAGGGACACAGAGTGGAGGAGGGCTGGCTAGGGTGGGGAGCTGGGATTGTTTCCAGGATCTCTGAGGACACTGAAATCTGGAGGTGCCCAAACCACTTACATTAAGACCAGAGTATGTGCATGCAACCTGTACATATTCTCTGGTGTACTTTAAAATCATCTGCGACTTACTTCCATAACACGAGGCGATGCTGTGTGAATGGTTATTATACTGTATTATTTAGGAAACCATGGCCAAAAAGTCTACGTGCTCAGTACAAATGCAACTTTTTAAAAAGATCTATTTTTATTTATGTATGTGTCTGCCACATGTGCACAGGTGCCTTCAGAGACCAGAGGAGGAGGATGGGTCCCCCTGAACCAGTGCTACAGGTGGTTGTGAGCCGACAAGTTGGGTGCTGGGAATGGAAGTCAGGTTCTCTGAAAGTGCTTCCGCACTGAGCCATCTCTTCAGCCCAAGATGCAACTCCTTTTATTTTTATTTTTCAAATATTGTCCATTTCTGTTGGTTGAACCCATGAATATAGAACCTACGTGTATGGAAGGCTGATTGCATATCATAACATCACAAGGATGTGTCCAGCTCTCGGGAGTTCTATGGCCATTCTTTGACCTGTCTCTGGCCTGGTCATCTGATCTTAAATTCTTATATCTGATTTCACTTCTTCCTTTCTTCCAGCCACAGAATCTTCCCACACCTTCCTAGGTTTTCTTTCCTCCATTCCTAAGCTCACGTGGTCTCCTCCACTCGAGTCTTCTCCACCTGCCAGTTCCGTGTATTGCTGTCTATGGTACCTTGCTGGGAGAAAACTTAACCTCACATCATGTACTGACTTAACACAGAAAGGGGCAGTAAGAAGACATCCGTGGGAAAACAAACGGGCTTGTCAGGGAGACAAATAAAAGGTGTGGGAGCTTGTAATAATCATGCAGTTTCTCACTCCGTTGTTAATAGTCAGTTGTCCCTGGTGAGATGGTTCAGTGGGGAAAGACGCTTGCTACCAAGCCTGGCCAATCCCTGAAGCTCACGTGGTGGAAGGAGAGAACTGACTCCCCAAGGCTGTCCTCCAGCTCCGAATGCACTCTTGCAAGTGCGCGTGCCTGAGTCCAAGGGAAGCCCTGAAAACCAGAACCTTTTTCCCAAAGCCAGCCATAATTACTGAAGTCTATTATTCCAACACTGTCCTCTGCTTTTCTACAAATGAACTCACCATAGAGTCCTGGACTTCATTTGATTGTACATCTCAAAATCTCCATTTCCTAGAGAGTCCTATCCAATACCAAGAAGAGTAAATGCCAAAAAGAGTCTGGGCGGGCCTTACTAGGATAACTAATGGATCAAACCTCTTTCTTTTCAATCACACTTCTACACAACTGTCCATATTTCCTCAAGCCTAAGCACAAAAATGGACAGCTCAGCCCAAGGCTCTGGGCATTTGACCTGAAAGCTCTTACATCGCATGGAATGTGAACAAATAAACCATTATGCTTTTCTCCAGTTAACCTGCTAATTGTTTTAAGGATATTTCAGTGTTGCTGGTACCTGAAGGCTAGGGAAATCTTAGAGAGAGACAAAATTCTACTTCTACCTAGTCTTTCTAGGTTCTTGTGAGCAGAGAAAGAATTTAAACACAAGACAAGGTAAGTTGGGAGGAAGTTTTATTATAGAGCAAAAGTATACAAGGAGTAAGGTGGGCTTCTGGAAAGAGCTGCATCCCCCAGGACTTTGCATAGCATTTTTTTGGACAAACTTTAGTGGAGGGAGCTGAGCTGGTTAGTTTTGTATCAACTTGACAGAAGCTAGGATCAGGAGGGAAGAGGGAAACACAATGAAGAAAATGCTTCCACCAGACTGACCTGGAAGCAAGTCTATAGAGCATTTTCTTAATGATGGATGGGGGAGGCCCCAACCTAGCTGTGGGCAGTGCCACCCAGGGCAGGTGGTCTTGGGTTGTACAAGAAAACCAGCCAAACAAACCATTGGGAGCAAGCCAGTAAGCAGTGTTCCTTCTCTGTCTCTTCTTCAGCTTCTGCCTCCAGGTTCCTGCCTAGAGTTCCTGCCCCAACTTCCATTCAACACTATAACTCGTAAGATGAAATAAACCCTTTTCTCCCCAAGTTGCTTTTGGTCATGGTCTTTATTACAGCAATAGGAGATAACAGGGGAATTATTGAGTAAGTTGGGGAATTTCAATAACAGGCCAGTATTTTCCCAGAATAGGGCCGTGCCCTCACCACACCCTACGCTTTTGTTTTTCATTATATGAAGATGTTAGATGTGCCATGATGCCAGATGCATGGTGGGAGCAAGAAACTTTGCAAGGTTAGCGATACGGAAATGGCATTATACTAAAGCAAAGCCAGAGCTCTTGGTGGTCATCCATGTGGGTCCCAGCCAGTTCTAAGTATTCTTGTTCCTTCAATGTTTGAGAGGTCACATGACATCTTGGCATATGTAATACAACTCTGTGATCACATCAGTGGCTAGGTACCATGTAATTTTCTTCTATTTTCCCTGTGTCTACCTAGCCAACCTCGGGGATGAAGGAAAAATGTCTCCTCTGCTCTCTGAAGGTTCATCGAATCAATTACCAAAGATTAACTAGAGGAAAGACTCACAAACATATGACTTGCATGGCGGTGGCCACAGTGTAGCACCCCAGTCTGGTGTGATTCAAAAGCTTATAGAGTCTTTTTAAACCTATTTATTTGTTTGTTTATTTATTTTTATATCTATAGGAGATGAAGTAGACAGATTTGGACAACTTGGGAGGGGTTGAAATGATTTTTAGGCGAGTTCAATGAATTTGGAGAACAATGGCCTTGGACAAGGTCTTGATTGGAGAAACAGACAACCTTTGGAAATGATTCACCAAAATAGAGCTGACAGTGTGTGAGGACAGTCTATCCAGGAGGGTGGCAGCCTTCTTTCTTCCTAGGATATGATTTAGTTAATGAAAGCCCAGGAAAGGGACAAGGGGCGATTGTTCCCTGTTTGGCAGGCCTGATCTTTGGAAGCTGGAGATTACTGCAGAAAGCCTGTCTCCACACCTGGGGACAGGGACAAAAGCAGGCAGCACTAGACGGCCTTGATTCTCAGTCTGCCTCTGTAGCCTTTTCATTTCTTGTAGGTCAAATTGTTCAGAGTACTACCAAGCACCATAGCCCCAACAAGCATGCCATCCTTGACCCCTCCCTCCCTCCCTCCCTCCCTCCCTCCCTCCCTCCCTCCCTCTGTGTATTTGTACAACGTGCTTACATGTTCACATAGATGCAGGTGCGCATACGTATTATGTATGCATATAGAGAACAGAGGTCCACCTCAAGTGTCATTCTTAAGGTCTGTCCACCTTGTTTTTGAGGCAGGGACCTGAGGCTCAACACGAGGAAGACTGTCTGGCCAGTGAGTCCCAGTGATTTGCCTGTCCTCCCTTTTCCAGTGCTGAATTACAACCACACAGGACCACACCTGGCATTCTGTGCAGGTTCTGGGGCTCTGCAACCCAGAGTTCTCAGGTCCTCATGCTTTGAACTTCAAGCACTTTACTAAGTCATCTCCCCAATCCGCAGGGATTGCCTTCTTGTCCAACCCTCCAACTGCATGATGAAGAAGAGAAAGCAGTTGGAACGAACAGTGTCCGTCACAAATGTCAGCGGTTTGTATTCCTCTTCTCTACCCAGCATTCATACCCTCCAATCACATGTGTAGAATAATTAATACCATGGCTGTGGAGGCCCCAGTTATCTTAAAGGCAGAGGACTTGAAAACAGACGTCTTTAAGGACCATTTGCTGTTTGCTTTTCCCGCTTGCTTGTTTCTCTTACATTTCCAACGGCTCTAAGACTTATTAACCAGGACATGGCATACCTCAATGTCCACTCCACATTCGTGTGTTGTCTAGCATGGGGGCACTCTCTGAGGAAGTCACTAGAGATCTCATCATCTGTGTGAACGTTATAGAGTGTGCTTACACGAACCTGGACGTGTAGGGCATTCAGTGGATGCAAACACAAGGTGCAAACACAAGACATAAAGTGGCTGTAGATCTGTTTGCAGTTGACTATCTACTAAATAGGAATGTCTAGTAAGTAGGAATCCACTCTAAAGTAATGATGAAAAGTGTAGTACATAGTAAGAACACAATCCAGTAGTATGACTGCTCATTCTGATTGTCCAGCATCAGACACACTGTACATAATTGTATTGTTATACTTGAACGTCACTAGCTGCTTTGGAGGTTTGTTCACACTAGCAACACACAATGACCTGTATATTATGATGTCACCAGTTGACCATATAATCTTACACGGTCACCATCATGCACTTGGCCCTTTGTTGGTCAATTGTTGGTATGTGGTATTTGACTGTGATTGCAGACATTAAAAGATGTTGCAGGGTAGTTTTGATTATGCCTCTTTTTTGTCTCACACACTGGCTCTATTTATAACCTAAACAGTTACCTTACTTTATAGGCTGACTTTAGCAATGAAAACCTTTCTCCCTTGGGATTTTTTTTCGGGGGGCGGGGTATGGTTTAATTTTGTTTTTGTTATTTGAGGCAAAGTCTCACTATGTAGCTTAGGCTAGCTTGAAACTTGCTATAGAGACCAGACTGATCTCCAGTTTTCAATGATCCTCCTGCCTCTGCCTCCGAAGGGCTACAGTTGCAAACCCAGGGGGGCACCATAACCAGTTTTCCCTGGGTTATTAATGAGACACTTGAAACTGAGGGCAAACCCTATCTTATCTTAGCCTGTCTTGCTTTTAGTTACTTGAATTTATGAGGGTTTTTTTCTTTCTCTCTTTCTTTTCTTTCCTTTCTTTTTTTTAAACAACATAGCTAAGCAATATACTCCCTCAGATTCACCTTTATGTATGGTCACCAAGGCAACAATTGTTCAAGTTGTTTTACAAGAATCCGGAGGTAGGGGCGGCGGCGGCGGCGGTGGCGGCGGCGGCGGCGGTGGCGGCGGCGGCGGCGGCGGCGGAGCTGCGAGCGCGAGCCCGGGGCGGCCGCCCAGCGCCATGTCGGTGAACACGGACGAGCTGCGGCACCAGGTCATGATCAACCAGTTCGTGCTGGCCGCGGGCTGCGCGGCCGACCAGGCGCAGCAGCTGCTGCAGGCGGCGCACTGGCAGTTCGAGACCGCCCTGAGCACGTTCTTCCAAGAAAGCAACATTCCCAACAGCCACCACCACCCGCAGATGATGTGTACTCCCAGCAACACCCCTGCCACACCGCCTAACTTCCCTGATGCGCTAGCCATGTTCTCCAAGCTTCGAGCCTCTGAGGGCCTGCAGAACAGCAACAGCCCCATGACTGCTGTGGCTTGCTCCCCTCCTGCAAACTTCAGCCCCTTCTGGGCCGCATCCCCACCCAGCCACCAGACGCCCTGGATCCCGCCCTCTTCCCCCAACTCCTTCCATCGTCTCCACTGCCCACAGCCCACGTGGCCCCCTGGAGCGTCCCAGGGGGGCGCACAGCAGAAAGCCGTGACAGCAATGGATGGCCAGAGATGAGACTGGATGGCACTGGGCTGGAGCAGGGGGCAGTCCAGGGTTGTGGGGGACACAGAGGAGGGCTGGGGAGGGGGGACACGAGGGCGGGGGATTTCTTGAAGATCGCACTGGAAGATTTTATAAGAATTTTTGTGGGGTGGGTGGGACAGTAACCATCCTGAGCCACTTGGGTTCTTCAGGAGTTGCTCTTTGGGAAAGGTTTTTTCCTCTTTTTAATATATAACTATAATATATATGAATATAAAAAAAAAAAAAAAAAAAAAAAAAAAAAAAAAAAAAAAAAAAAGAATCCGGAGGTAACTTCCTCCCAGCCAAACCCAAACCCCCAGCCCTTCTCTTGGCCTGGAGTAGGTGTCAGATGGGAGACTAGGAAGGAAGAGATTTGAACCCCATCCCCACTCTGTTCGGAGTGCACCAACACTACCATTTCCCCAGCATGCACCCTGTGAAGAGCCTCAAAGTGTCCCTTCACATGTCCTAGGCACCCATCACAGCTCCCTGACTCCAATCACCCTTCTCCACACTCACACCGCCCCATTTCCTTTTCCCATAGACACCCCTAAGATTCTTTTAGGGCTCCCACTATGCTCAGCTGCCTCATGAATAAGTTCTTTCTCTTTGGATAAGCCCTCTGCTTCTGTGATTGCCATTTGTTGGGTAACCCTTGAGTGGGACAAGGCAGAGGTCTGCCCTAGTCAGATTTGAGTTTCTCTTGGTGTCCTTGCTCTGCCTCCGCTGTGCCAATGCCAATATCTTCAGAGCTCTCAGAAATGTCGAGCCCTAAACCTTGAAGGACTGGCTTTCCAGATGAATTACTCACTGTTTGGCAATTGTATTTCAGCAGCCTGTGAACCACTCACTATTATGGGGAAATGTAAATGAGGCACTCTGAAGTGGGAATCCCCACACCAGAAGGCCTCAACGATGCAAATAGCCAATAAGAGACAAAAGGGAACCCACAGAGCCAGGGTGGCTGTGGGTCAGGGGACCACAGGGGAGAAAGCTGCCTGGAGAACTCTTGATGTAGACCCAAAGAGAAGAGATGAGAGAAAGTGAGTCTGAACTCCCCCAGAGGCTTCAGGGAGGTGTCAGGAATCTGGCCCAGAGAATAGAGACAGTCGAGGAGTCCAGTGTCTGTGTGGATTCTTGTTTTTTCTCTCCCATATTAGGCTGGAAGCAACATCCAATCCCTTGATTCTTTAAGGAGGAAGCAGGTAGTATTGCTAGAGTGACTGTCTCCTTCTCCAGTGGAAAGGGGGCTTAAGGGCCAAGATTGGTAGTACAGGCCTGTAATCTAGCATTGGGAGGCTGAGGCAGGAGGGTTGACAGCTTGGGCTGTATGGTGAGATACCGCCAAAAGAAAAAAAAAAAAAAGAAGCAAAAGGAGGAGGAGGAGGAGGAGGAGGAGGAGGAGGAAGGCCTGGGCTAGTAGAGTACTTGCATGTTCAGAGCTCTGGTTTTGATCCCCAGCACCCAGGGGAGGGGGACTTAAAGCTTAAAGTATCTAATACTCAGCAGGCAGGGCTGGGCACGAAGTCCTGGGGGAAGCCCCTCAATAACTAGTACAATATTAAATGTAAAACCCATGTTAGAGCTGGGAAGACAGCTCAGGGATTAAACACTTGCTGCACAAGCATGAAGACCAGAGTAGAATCCCTTGAACCTATGTGAATGTCTAGTGGGCACTGCAACACTCCTGTAGTTCCAGCTTCTGGAAAAGGGGACAGGGGATCTTCAGAGCTCGCTGGCTAGCCAGGCTAGTCCTGTTGACAAGCTCTGGGTTTGAGTGAAAGACCCTCTCTTAGTGAATAAGGTAACAGAGTAATAAAGGATGATTCTCAGCATCAACCTGGAAATTCCATATGCAGACACATACATGTGCATGCACATCCACATATGTGTGTGTCTCCCAATCACTCTCTCTCTCTCTGTCTGTCTCTCTCTCTCATACACACACACACACACACACACACACACACACACACACAC